TGTGGACGTTTTCTCTTCTTTGTGGCCACACGAAACTCGAATCCCAAAACAACGTCTACCCCCCCCCCCCCCCTACCCTTGCTTGTGGAAACTTTTCCGTCTTGTTTGGCCACATGGACCAACAACCAAATGCAAACGACCACGACTACGACGACGATGGCGGAACTCTGTACACTCAGAAAAGACGAGATTGCCCGGAGAAAACGGTTGGGGCTTCCCTTGGACGGGCTGATCGACGCCAAGAAGCTCCTCGCAGGAGGGGGGGGCGGCGGAGGGGGCGGAGGGGGGAAGCCCCCCCCCAGACAGATGCCGACCGGGGGCGGCGGTGGGCAGAGCAAGGTGGGTTATGATGTTGGTTGTATCCTGTGTTTGCGGTGAAAAATGGAGGGTGAGGTTGGACCGCGCGTGACCGAGCACAGGGAAACAGAGGATATCGAGGTTGGATCGCGCGCGACCAAGCAGGGAAACAGATCACACGAACGAACGGACAGCCCCAGGCCGCAGACGGCAATGCGCGCGTTCGTGTTGGCTCGGCGGAAGTGCGTGGGGATTTTTATCACACGGGGCCGCCGCTGCGGGAGAACGAGGACCCGGAAACCAGAACGAGCCGCGTCACGCTAAATAGATTACGTGCTCGCGCATGCAATTTTTTGTTTTTCTTGTAGCCGATCCCCCCCTCCCCTTTCAAAAACCAGAGTTTTTGAGGTTCTGGTCCAACCGCGGGCATGAGCTCGGTCGGTGTGTGTGTGTGTGTTGTCAAACCTCCCCCCACCCCCCCTCCCTTACCCCCACGTTGAGTAGAGGAATGGAGGCGCTTGGTCCGTCGGCACCAAGAAGCTCGACAAGTGTGGATGGGAGAGAAAAGGGTTCGTTCACGAATGGCGTGTAGTATGCAGCAGTAGCAACACAAGTGCCCCCTCCCCCTTTCCAGCGCAGAAGCGGTTGGCTATTCGGCCGTAACCGCTGGTTTGGTGCACAGCGAGGGTACTTTGATCGAGCGAGTTGTCCCCCGAAACTCTCTTGATTTACATGTATGCCGCTTGCGAAGCTGGCGTTCCACGTCATCGTTTCTGGCGTTGCTCTCTACCTGTCAGCCTCTCCGCGTAAAAGCCAACCCCTTTTCTCCCGGGCCACTGTTGAACGGATGGCGCGGGATGCCGTTCGGCAGAAGAAGCGGGTCGTCGTCGTCTACTGCAGTATTTAGACGTTTTCCCTTTTCGTTCCGCCTTCTCACATGTCACGTGTCACACCCCTCTCTCAAAGAAGCGAGACATAGTTCGGAAAGCTGTCAGGCGGTCTACCTACGAAGGAACCCCCCCCCCTCCTGTGGAAAAAATTCTCCGTCTTCTCGAGGGCACGTGGTCAATGGTCAGAAAAGAAATGAAGTCATACGCACGCAGCTGTCATCCGTACGCAAGGAAGTAAGCACACAAGATGCCGAACACCCTTAGCAGGATGCAGCGCACCCTTCATGCGAACTCGCCGAATACCCCACAGCTCTTCGCCCTTGGTGATGTGAGAGCCTGGTCCGGTGAGAACCCGGCGTGCTCCGTCCCGGCTTTGTAGGGATGCGAGGTCAATGGTCTAATAACTACGGCATGCACGACTATGAGTACACCCCCCCCTCCCCTTTTCCCTGCATTGTGTGCTCTCGACCGTCCTTGCAAACCTAGGGCCGGGATAGGAACAGCGGGGGCTAAGGCCCAGAACACGAGTGTATACATCACTGGCCTGCCCTCTGACATCACCCTGGCAAAGATCGGTGGGTAGGGACGGCGGGGGGAACGGCGGATTGCTGTCGCTTCCTGCAGCGGGGGGGGCATTTTTCCTTATCCGAACGACTAATTCTGAGAAATTCGAAGTTTTTTTCGTTGTCTGCCGGAGAAAGGCACGCACTTGGTATTTGACATTTTCAATTCACCGAGGATACATTGAACGAAAGGTGTGGAAATCGACAAGATTTTTTTACTCCATGTGTCTGCACGCTGCGAACGCATTTGCTGCGCGTTCTTCACCCCGACTACGGCGACGAAAAACCTTTTAAGAGCTGGTGTTCTCCCAGCACGGGTCGGTGAAGAGGACCAAGGTCTACCGGAATGAGGCCGGCGAGGCTAAGGGGGACGGCCTCGTGACGTTCGCCAAGCCGGCTTCCGTCGACCTTGCCGTCGCCAAGGTAGGCGTAAGGACTGACTCCCTTTGGACAGTTATTTTGATTGCCGGGTTTATCGGCATCTTTAGTAGAGAAAGTATACATGATCTCACAGAAAGACTGCATGCCCTTTGGAGAGATGACCACAGCAGCAGTCGAGAGGGATGTGCCGAGAAGTACTTCCTTTCATTCAAATCTGGTGTATCAGACAACAATAACAAAAGAAACACTTGTGATGTACAAGTACACGATTTCGTCTCAGGCTGTGTAGGAATGAAACCTTTCTTTTGAAAACCTGGTCTTCGTTATCCCCGGCTCACCTCACGCCGCTTCGCGCTTGGTGATGTGAGAGCCTGGTCCCGGTGAGAACCCGACGTGTTTCGTCCCGGCTTTGTAGGGAAGCGAGGTCGATGGCGTAACGGCTACGGCATGCACAGCTGTGAGTACACCCCCCCCCCCCCCCCGGCCGCGTATCTCCCCCCTCCCTCCCCGGAACCAGAAGAATGGGCCCCAAATTTCCGTGGGAAATCCCCTTTTCCTGAGCATGGGGGAATTTCACAAGACTAAAGGGGGAAGGGGCACTCATGGGTGGGGGGGGGGGGCCCGCCCTTTTTTTGGGGGAAAAAAGGGTGGGGGCCCCCCGGCCCGGCCTTTTTTGGACCCAACCCGGGTGG